GTCTTTATGTATTTAGATTTGACCTATATTTTTGTAGTGTCTTTAATGTATTTAGATTTGACCTATATGTTGAACTGTCTTTAATGTATTTAGATTTCACCTATATTTTGTAATGTCTTTAATGTATTTCGATTTAACCTATATTTCGTAGTGTCTTTAATGTATTTAGATTTGACCTATATGTTGAAGTGTCTTTAATGTATTTAGATCTGATCTACATGTATATGTTGAAGTGTCTTTAATGTATTTAGATCTGACCTACATGTATATGTTGAAGTGTCTTTAATGTATTTAGATCTGACCTACATGTATATGTTGAAGTGTCTTTAATGCATTTAGATCTTACCTACATGTATATGGTGAAGTGTCTTTAATGTATTTAGATTTGACTTATATGTTGAAGTGTCTTTAATGTATTTAGAGTTGACCTATATTTTGTAGTGTCTTTAATGTATTTAGATTTGACCTATATTTCGTAGTGTCTTTAATGTATTTAGATTTGACCTATATGTTGAAGTGTCTTTAATGTATTTAGATCTGACCTACATGAATATGTTGGAGTGTCTTTAATGTATTTAGATCTGACCTACATGAATATGTTGGAGTGTCTTTAATGTATTTAGATTTGACCTATATTTTGTAGTGTCTTTAATGTATTTAGATTTGACCTATATTTTGTAGTGTCTTTAATGTATTTAGATTTGACCTATATGTTGAAGTGTCTTTAATGTATTTAGATTTGACCTATATTTTGTAGTGTCTTTAATGTATTTAGATTTGACCTATATGTTGAAGTGTCTTTAATGTATTTAGATCTGACCTACATGTATATGTTGAAGTGTCTTTAACATATTTAGATCTGACCTACATGTATATGTTGAAGTGTCTTTAATGTAATTAGATCTTACCTACATGTATATGTTGAAGTGTCTTTAATGTATTTAGATCTGACCTACATGTATATGTTGAAGTGTCTTTAATGTATTTAGATCTGACCTACATGTATATGTTGAAGTGTCTTTAATGTATTTAGATCTGACCTACATGTATATGTTGAAGTGTCTTTAATGTATTTAGATCTGACCTACATGTATATGTTGAAGTATATTTAATGTATTTAGATCTGACCTACATGTATATGTTGAAGTGTCTTTAATGTATTTAGATTTGACCTATATTTTGTAGTGTCTTTAATGTATTTAGATTTGACCTATATGTTGAACTGTCTTTAATGTATTTAGATCTGACCTACATGTATATGTTGAAGTGTCTTTAACATATTTAGATCTGACCTACATGTATATGTTGAAGTGTCTTTAATGTATTTAGATCTGACCTACATGTATATGTTGAAGTGTCTTTAATGTATTTAGATCTGACCTACATGTATATGTTGAAGTGTCTTTAACATATTTAGATCTGACCTACATGTATATGTTGAACTGTCTTTAACATATTTAGATCTGACCTACATGTATATGTTGAAGTGTCTTTAATGTATTTAGATCTGACCTACATGTATATGTTGAAGTGTCTTTAACATATTTAGATCTGACGTACATGTATATGTTGAAGTGTCTTTAACATATTTAGATCTGACCTACATGTATATGTTGAAGTGTCTTTAATGTATTTAGATCTGACCTACATGTATATGTTGAAGTGTCTTTAACATATTTAGATCTGACCTACATGTATATGTTGAACTGTCTTTAACATATTTAGATCTGACCTACATGTATATGTTGAAGTGTCTTTAATGTATTTAGATCTTACCTACATGTATATGTTGAAGTGTCTTTAATGTATTTAGATCTGACCTACATGTATATGTTGAAGTGTCTTTAATGTATTTAGATTTGACCTATATTTTTGTAGTGTCTTTAATGTATTGAGATTTGACCTATATTTCGTAGTGTCTTTAATGTATTTAGATTTGACCTATATGTTGAAGTGTCTTTAATGTATTTAGGTTTGACCTATATTTCGTAGTGTCTTTACTGTATTTAGATTTGACCTATATGTTGAAGTGTCTTTAATGTATTTAGATTTGACCTATAT